GCAGCACTGTAATAATTCTCCTGGTAAACGTGGTGCCATATGCCAAGACAGGGCTCAAGGGCTGAAAGGACAGTTTCTTGCGATTTCTTTCCTTCAGCGGTGCTTATCTCCATACCGCAGGCCTAACCAGTGTCACTCTTACACACCATCCGAATAAGTAAACGGTATTTTGTTATTTCACTGGGTTGTACGTGGGAAATTTTAAACGTCCTCTCCATGGAACCAGTCCCTCATCCAAAGACAACTAACTGTTGCTTTGGTTTGTATATTGTTTGAAATTTATGCAGGAAATAATCTAGCACAGTTTAGGTCTCAAAAAAGGTCTCCCTGAGGGACTGTCCATGTTGGAGTTATCATTGAAATGCCAGAATGTCCATATTTGCTCAAATCTATAGCAGAAATATGGTGGAAATAAGGGGTACGTATCAAAGCATCTGTTGACCAATAGCCTTTCAAGCTACCTTTTCTTGTTTGATCTGTCAGAATAAAATTAGGTCAAGGAATTCTTGATGTCCTTCTGGAGACCACTTTTATGTTCTAGATGGTGTTTTGCATTTCATTGCAGTTTGATCGTGATAGTTGGACAGCTCTTTGCACAGCATCTCAACAATTCATCACACGCAAAAAAAGAGATTAAATTTACCACCAAAAAAAAATTGGTCACTTGGTCACAGAGGGTCACACTGAGATGCAAATCAGTGACCCCAACAGGACCTTCAAGCACTTGTAAGTGTGATGGTGTGTCAATCTCAGATCAACAATTATCAATTATCAGCGGCCCCATCAGTGTCAGCATCTTTTGAAAGCACCGCCACCTTGTGCTTCCTTACCCGTCTAATAATTTCACCACCAGTAGAATCAGTAGAATGACCTCCAGAGTCACCAAAACAGTCATCTACATCTTCGACCTCAGTAGGAATAACTGGTAAATTATCGTCAAATACTTCTGGAAATGTATTGGTCTCACTGGTTTCCCTCCTTTTTCTGAGCAAAGGCATTTCTAAAAGTGCCAGGAACTTGAAGACAAGGACTATTCAGATGACCAAAACACAATGTAACTGCAATTCTTCATGGGTTTGTGCAATTATACAATTTTTCATAGATTAACCCACAGAGTTTCCACCAATGAGATTACTTCATTCATGGTGGACAGGCCAGTATGTTGACATCTAAGGTCCATAACAGATGGGGAGTGAAAAAAATGAGAAAACTAGTGAGTGGTCCTTAACACAGAGAAACCCTGTCTTAAAAAAGCAACAAAAGGAGCTGTAGAAAAGGCTCAGAGAGGTTAAGAGCACTGGCTGCTGTTTCAGAGGTCCTGAGTTCAAATCCCAGCAGTCACATGGTGGCTCACAACCATCTGTAATGAGATCTGGTGGCCTCTTCTGGTGTGCAGACATACATGGAGGAAGAATGTTGTATTCATAATAAATGAATCTTTAAAAAAGTAAACAAAATAAAATTTATTTTTAGTTTAGGAATGGTTGCCTGCATATATGTGTATGCACCCCAGATGTGTAATACTTGTGGAAGCCAAAAGAGGGGGTCAGATCCCTTGGAGCTGGAGTTAGAGGCAATTGTGAGCCGCCTAATCTGTGTGTTAGTGTAGGGAGAGATTTTAGGTGACTGTGCCGCTGACCACGCCCGCGTTGGGCGTGGCTAGAGGCACATATAGATGTGGTAATAAAACGGCGTGCAGAAGAGATGCTCTCATGCTCTCTTCTGGCCCAGTGTCAGAAAGCTGTTGACTCACCTGGTTGCCAGTTTCTCTTGTAAGTACTTTCCACAATAAATAGTTACTTATACCCTCATCAAGTGTGCCCTTTATTTTTACATGTTGGGAACCCAGTTCTCTGCAAGAGTAGCAAGTGCTCTTGACAGCTGAGCCATCTCTCCAGCCCCATACATACAATCTTTTTAAAAAATATATTTATTTTTATTTTATGTGCATTGATGTTTTGCCTGCATATATATCTGTGTGAGGATACCAGATCTGCTTGAACTGGAGTTACAGACAGCTGTGAGCTACCATGTGGGTGCTGGGAATTGAACTCAGGACCTCTGGAAGAGCAGCCAGTGCTCTTAACCACTGAGCCATCTCTCCAGCCCCACAGTCTTTAAAGAACCTATTTAAGGAAAGCCCCCCAGTCTCAGGTAACCATTCATGGGTTCTATAACTGATGCTGTGCAACCAGTACTTGATTTCCAGAATGATCCAGCTGGGTTCTTCCCTGTGGATCTGCAGCAGCAACGTGGGAATCGTATGATATGGAGAGACTGAAGCAAGAGAAGGACCCTGACACTGAGACCAGTCTGGGCTACATAGCAAATGGGGCTGGGGCGGGGGAATCAACAGAGAGTATGGAGTTTAGTGGCAGGAGTTGCTTATTGATACCCACAACCTTTCAGACATTGAGTGTGTGTGAGGTGGAGGCAGCAGTTTTTGTTTTTTCTCATTGCCTGGAAGATGTTAAGTCCTGAAACTGCAGGAACGACCAAACTGAACACTCAATGTAATCACCGAAACTCCACCTGGCCTCCCTAATTCGATGAAGGAGGAAGCAGAAAGAGATTAGAGGATTGAGAAGGGCTTAAAGAGCCCTGCCTTTCAAGTGCTGGGTCAACTTTTCTTTATTTAAAAGAAAAGCTCAGTATATCTCCTGGTTACACCACTCCACGTAGAGACTCCGAGTAGGTTAAGAAAAAGCTGTCGTTTGCTTCCTGACTCAGCCAGCCAGCCTCTTTGACTCAGTACCTCATGCACGTGGAAACACACTTACCTGCCCTTTCTGAACAACTCTCTGTATCAGAAGCCTAAGGTGTCTTCCAGTTCAAAGAACAGCATTTCTAAGGTGCCTTTCAGTTCAAAGAACATCACTTCCTCGGGGTCAAGTGCCTTGTCTGGAGCCCTTGAAGGTGGGCAGCTGTAGATCACAGGCTGTAGCTGGCTGCATATTAGAATAGCAGAGCCCTATGGAAATTGCTTCTAAATAATTAGAGATGTGCTGAACTGTTGCATAGATCCCATGAGACAGGGAGACAGACAGTTCATTTCCAAATCCCTGCCCTACCTAGCAATCCAACCTGAGGTGAGGTGGGGTTAATCTTGGCGCAGGAGAAAAACTTGGTTCCTTTGATTAACATCTACAGCCAATAAAGGAAAACTTTGAAAGATTGGACCCAAGAGAATAAAATAGAAGATTCTCAAAAACATGTAGAGTAAGAATAATTATTATATAATGTCAGCAGCAGAACTGGAAAAATAGTTACTATATACACCATAGACAAAGGACTACTATCACTAATGTGTGGGGGGGGGAGGATAAAATAGTAGAAAAAATGGAAAGGAGCATAAATTAACAATTTAATAAATCAAATCTATCTCTGATGGTTGGACAATTAGAAAAATATTAAAACTCAATAATAGCTAGAAAATTTTGAATATTCCTGAGACACCGTTCTCCTCTGCGAGACCAGCAAAAGTTTCAAAATATGACCACATGTTCTCTTTGTCTGGCTTTTGGGATGTAGACTCTAGGATGTTTCTGAGGGGAATTAAAATTGATAGGACCCATCTAAGGGGAAATGTGTTGATGTCCAATAAACAAAGTCATTATGGACACATGTACCTGTGCTCAGCCATCCCACCTCTGGGAACCTCTCCTGAAGATGCCTCTCCAGCAACACAGCAACACACATGCACTGACAGTCCCCCACCCACTGAACCTTTTAGAATACTCTACATAGAAGAGAAGCGGAATGATCTATAGTACATTGATTTATAGTCTGGGCCATCTTTTCAGCTCAATTAGTCTTTTAAAACACACACACACACACACAACTAATAAGAGTAACCACTTCATTAGTTCAATTATTATAAATTATTTAGATCCTAGTATCTATTGCCTAGTATTTGACTCTGCCCACCACCAACCCTGCCCAAACATGGTTTATTCCTCACAGTGCTTCTATGACAATGAACATGAACACAGTCAACAAACAGCCCAACCCAACTTAAAAGCTTGTTAATGTGTGATGCTAGTCATGATGTCTGCAACTTGAGTTTTCTGCACTAATAAGACTTTATTGCTGAAATTCACCCCCTTCCTAGTTTCACATATAAGAGGAGAAGACACTTTCAGTATAAGAGCTGTAACCTTTCACCTCAGGAAGTACATCACATACAAGAGGAGAAGACATGTTCAGTACAGGAGCTGTAACCTTTCACCCCAGGAAGTACATCACATACAAGAGGAGAAGACACTTTCAGTATAGGAGCTGTAACCTTTCACTCCAGGAAGTGCATCCTATCCAGACAAGCTTGTTTTCTATCTCTTGCTCCCAAGCCTCCTCCCATAGCTTTGTTTGATGCATTTTTCCTTTACTTTTTCAGTCCCAGGAGGATTTTCCTTGTGAAAACCTTTCCTCACAGCCTGCAAGCAGAGGTCTCTCCCTGTTCCCCACAGTTCTTTTAGAATGTTGTTTGTGATGACCTGATGACACTGAGCCACTGTGTGCTCTCCATCTCTGCTTGGTCACCTCCAAGGAGGCTGAGTTCTCCAGAGGCTAGCAGGCTTGTCAGATACACCTGAGTTGTGACAGGAAATGCCTGTGTTTTCTGGCCAGACGTGGAGCAAGAGCTTTTGCATCAGGGCAGGCATTGGGTTGACCATGTGTGTAGGCTCTGGCTAAAGCTGGGTTTTCAGCATCTTTGGGCCCACTCCCTCCACAGCATCTTCACTTTGACAATTCTCACTTTCTCCTTAGTCCAAGCTTTGCAAATTTTCAAGTCTATATTTCAGTAGTTTCCATTTCTATAAGCTTCACTCCCATTCCCTTATGAGCAAGGACTTATGATGCCTAGGTATTCTCACCTCTTTGGACCAGCTGTTCAGCAAGCCCTTCCCATCACCCACTGCTTACCATCACAGCTTCCCCCCCCCCATTCTGAGTTAAACTCAATATAGCAATCAGGCTTTATTATTCAAGCCTACCTGATTCGACATTTCCACACAAGAGGAAAGAGCGCCCGAAAGCTTTAAATTGATATGATTGCAATCCACAGCTATATTTAATATTAATTCATGTGACCAGGAATAATCACTGTGATGTCACAAATAAGGACGTCTTACACTTCCACAAGCAGATTTGCCAATGCCAATAGCCTTCAGCTTTTCTCTCTTTCTTCTGCCCTCTCTGGGCTCCGTAGCTGTTACAGTACCTGTGAGACCCCAGAGAAGGGAATTATAAATGCCACAAGAGGAAATTCATCTCTAAAGGTGCTTTTGGTGGGTCACAGATCTGTATGAATTAATTAAGTCAGGTACCATTCCTCCTGAACCCTAGCTAATTGAGACTGTCTATGCCAAGGGAACTTGAGTTTTAGTATGAGATGAGAAATGAGTGCAATAGCTTTGGTTCTGAGATCATCAGAGAGGCCAGAGCAGACCGGATTAAATGCCACCACTGGGGAGCCAAGGCATTTCTTCAGCATTGAATAGACAGAAAAATACCCAAGGAGGTTTGCCTCATGGGAGGTTTAACAGACTGCCAATGAACTTGGAGATGCTCTTCAGCCTGAAAATGATTAAGATATTCAACACAAAATGTAACATCAAAATGCATCCTTGCCCATGAGGCAGATCTCTTGACACTAAAAAAGATGGAAAGTCTAGAATTTGCAACAAGCCTCACTCAAAGGCCACAGGATAATGAAATTTGAAGTAGGATTTTTTTAAAAAAAAGATGAAGGATGGTCTTTATCCAATGGTTCTCAACCTGAGGAAAGGACTGGTGTTTAATGTGAGGAAAACTTCATAATCCCCCCTTGTAATATTATCTCTTGATTAAAACTAAAATGTTTTCCATAAGATGAGAGCCCAACAGCATTTCACCATGGGTGGGGAAGGGGTTCATAAGACCTCAACCATCCCTGAGGAGCCATAGGCAATTAAAGATTGTAAGGAGGGGTTGTAGTCCATAGTGATGTGCCCTCACTCAAGGGGAAAAAAAGCCCCATATCTCTTATCTTGTTAGCAGAGTAGGTATGTCATCACGCTCTCAATGAGCCCCCACCCATGCTCATACAAGCTACCCTAATTATACACAGTAGTACACACATAAGAAAACAGCTGTGAAAGTAGGATGGGAATATGGGGAAAAAAAGAAAGAGCTGTGAGAAGGGAAGGACGAATAACAATGATAATATGAATTTTATATATGAATTATATGTGAACATAAGATTATAAAATAAAATTTATTATTTGAAGTGTGATAAAAACATTGTTACTAATTCAGAAATTCAGAAAACGAGTCAGCTCATGCACTTAGCTCTGCAACATCTATGTTCATGTGTGTGCAAGTTTCGTTTGCATGTGGAATCAAAGACAAAAGACCTTCTGCCAACATCTCTTAGGTGCCTGTGGTGGAGAACTCTTAGGTGCCTGTGCCAAGTGCCTGTGGTGGAGAACTCACCCAGTGGATTCAGGGAAGGAGGTGTGAACTCCTCACCAACTCACCTCTGGTCCCACATATAAAGCCAGCAGGTAATGTTCGCAGGAAGAAAACATGAAGCACATACATACTAGGCTTTGCCCTCAGTGAAGGAAGTACAGGTCAAGGGTGGTTTCATTTGAGGCTATCCCTGAGGAACAGAGAATTACCTGATATGATTTCTCAACAGCTTTTGAGCCTAGCTACAGAAAATAAACTGCTGCCACCGCAAGACTATTACCTCTGCTTCATCGTCCCTCTGAGACATCTCCACTTATTGGCTGTGCCTGCCGTTTCATCGAGGAGGCACACATGCACTCCTTTGATTGACAGGAAAATGATGCTTCCTCAAGTGTCTGACCCCAGGGACATGTGAGGCAGTGTGCCCTGTTCTCAGGGTCCATGGTCACCAGCCTTACCAAAGGAAATGCTTTGGACATTTTGTCCAAGACAAGGACAGAGACACTGATCACCTGGGGTAGGACCCTGAATGAAAGCCTCGGTGTCACTTGCAGGGCCTGTAACCAAGCCCTGGGTGTCTTTCCTAAGTCGTCATGAGAACTCGGACGTCCTTTCTTTCTTACTCATATTGTGACTGTTCTTTTGTGTTTAATATTTGAGTTTTTCAATTTTTTCTTTAAAAGGACTGAAAGAGCAACAAGAGTACCATAACCAAGAAAGGAGATGATGTGTCTCAATGTGAACATAATTGCACAAGGGCATAGTCAGTAAAACCCAGTAAATCACGGTGAGCAAAAATGATTCAGAAAGCTGCTGGCTGCTTTGTTCAAATATCAAAGAGCCGGTGCTTTGCAGATGGGTGAGGTTCAGGACTGTGCAATAATACTTCAGTGGGCCTGGGGGACTGGCTCGAGGTGACTAAAGGCTAGGTTTGTGTCCTTACTCTAGATCTCATTTCCTCTCCTCCGATATGCTGATGAGAATATCTTCACCAGCAATTGGCTACAAAAAAATGTGGGAACACCAGACCTTGAGCAGAAACCCACTTCCCCTTCTGCCTGGGAGTAGGCAGCTGTAAGACAATGTTTAGTAAAAACATGTTTACTAAAAACGATACAATAAGTTCTGAAGGGGCATTCCCCACGAGAAACATACAACCTGAGCCTTGTCCAAGAGACTAACACTTCCTTCAAAACCCCACACACATCCAC